AAAAAAAAAAAAAAAAAAAAAAAAAAAAAAAAAAAAAAAAAAAAAAAAAAAAAAAAAAAAAAAAAAAAAAAAAAAGGGATATTTATAAAATCGTTTAAAGTTTACCTGTGGTTGAGCGAGCATATCCAACTGCCAAGAACAAACCAAGCCATCTGTACTTGCAGTAACGAGATTGTGAGCGTTCTGAGTTCCAACCATTTGCATCGAATAAACCGGATGTGTGTGCCCATTAGAAGAGAGAGGTGTTTTAAGAACAGGTAAAGATTTTGCTCTCATATCCCAGAGGACTATTTGTCCGGAATATGTGCCACCGATGACAAGAGTAGGGTGGAATTCGGAGAACGCAGTTGTAAGAACATCCGACTACATATTGAAATGTCTTTAAAAAATACTTTATCAAGTATTTTCATCCTACGAAAGTAAACTGACCTGGGAATGAAATATGAATTCTGGGCGTTCAAGTAGGCGTAAACTCCACACTAAAACGACACCGTCGGGTTCATTCATCGCAATCGGATTTTTGTTGTATGAAGCGACAACCAACTCGGGATTCTATATTAAAACAATAAGAATTTGATATCATTTCGCTAATATGAGGTATTAATTTTTACAATATCTTACTTTCTTTGACCAGTTCACATCTGTAACAGAGCGATTCTTGCTCCATTGATCATCGAAGAACGAGCACATGTATTTAACTCTGGTACCGCTTTTATCATCACTTAATGAAGCAATTATCGATTAATCATAAGAATATACGGCATCTAGCGAGAGCGGCGAATTTACCTCTCAACATCTTTGATGATGCTATAGTCTTTCATGAAATCATAGTTTTCATTAAGCGCTCTCTCCACAATTTTTGTCGAATAATCGATGAATTCTACGAATTCAGCAGAGCCAACAATTTTTTTCTTTTCTTCCTCAGAGATATCTGATAATCAAATGTCGGTTACCTTTCAGAATTGATCGTGGAGGAAACTATAAAAAAAATTTTTTTTTTTTTTTTTTTGCAAAAGAACCTTTGAGTTTTTGAACTTTCTTTTTTTCCGCTTCAGCTCTTAATCGTTCTTCTTCCAAAGCAGTTTGTTTTGCCTTTTCTATTTCTTCTTGTTCTTTTAATATTTTAGAACGAATTTCTTGTTCAGAAGGCGGCGGTGGACCAAAAGAGTTTTCCGCAGTTTGAACTTCTTTATTATAGAGAACTATTTCCTAGATAGTTAATAAATAACAAGTTTAATAAAAGGACATTCAATAGGGATCTGATTTAAAGGAGACAATTCAACACCTTTGGAGCAATATCCAAAATAACAGCTTCAAAGGATGAGAACTCCGGAATAAAGGGAACAAAGCGACTGTTGTGAGGAGTTGTTACTTGAGGGCTGCAAAAAGAATGAATATTAAATAGTTAGATGAAGTAGATAAAAAAATTTTACCGAGCATAAAGGAAAATAGAAAAATACCTCTGAGGAACTGAGGTACTTGGAGATGGCGCATAATGTGTTGAAACCGAAACAGATGCAGTCGTATGAGTGGAAGCCTTATCAGAGGTATCCAGAACTTCGGGCTTCGGCACGGGCTGAGTTTGTTCGTTCGGTGAACCTTTTCGAAGTAAAGAATCAACAAGATCATCGATAAAAACTTTACGGGATTTATCCTTCAAAAGGAAGATTACAAATTATTTTATTTTGTTGTATAGCAAGAATTAACGAGTCGTAATGAAAATGCTACATTTTCTTTCGGCGTCTCGGAAGTTATGTTTGTCACTGATGTTGCATGACTAAAGACTTGCTTTCGCTCCTCCCTTGCACGTCGAAGCTCGGCAAGTTTCTGTCTTTTCTTTTCCAACTCTTCTTTTCGCCTTTCCATATCCATTTTGAATAATTTATCTCAACAGTTGGTGCGCAGTCGCCTGATTTTTATATGATTTGCGTCTGCAAATCGGCGTCATTTCGTGGTAACTGTATTTGTTCTAATCCGACAACGTGGTAAAAAATGCGGTTTATTTTTTCTTTTCTTATATTCTTTGTTTGATTCAAATAGATTTTTTTAAACTAGATATATTTTTTATTATATTTGTTTAAAAATTTATAAATCATTTTTTATATTTTTAAAATTTATATTTTTATTATTTAATTGATTTTTTTATTATGATATTATAATTTTTTTAATATACAGTATATTAGCTAATTTTAAAATTTTGTTTAATTAATTTAAATACTTATTTGTTTATTTTTATTAATTCTTTTTTATTACCTGTTATAACTATTCTATAACTTTAACTTTTTTTTTTATAGTTTTTTTTGAAATTTTTTAATTTTTATTTTAATTTTTTTCATTTTATTTTATTTTATTTCTTTTTTATATATAAGATATTATTTAATAATTTCTTATAAGCTATACAGTATATACTATTTGTTTATAAAGATGATTTTTTTGATAAATAAATAATTATTATTGATTAATTTTATTAAAAAACTTTTATAGGTTTTTAATAAAAATATTTTAAAAATATTTTTCTTTTAATTTTTTTTATATAAAATTTATAAATATTACTAATAAATAAAAAGTTATAAAATTTAAATCAAAATTAATTTAAATTAAAGATATTTTAAAATTGATATAAATTGATTTGACTTAAATTAATTTAACTTCTTTTTTATTGTCATAATAATTTTAATCTAGAAAAAAATTTTTTATATTGAATTTAATAAATATTATACAATTATCTTATATTATTACTATTTTAAGAAAGTTAAATTATTGTTTTTTTTATCAAGTTATATATTAATATTTTTTTTATTAATATAAACAATTATTCAATTTTTCAATCTAAATATTAATAAAAATATAATATCTTTAAAACTTTGTTTTTTTTTTATAATTTTAAGTCTTATTTCAGATATAGTTTAAATTTTTTTTTTTTTAACCTATAGTCAGGTTAGCATGACATGTCTTTATTGTATATATGCTAAGTATTTACAAATTTTGTGACTTTCACATATTGACTCACTCATCGTCGAAAAATTATTTCTCTAAATATAATCTAGAAAATGATATTTTACATTTTTTACTAATTTTGAATATTTCTTTTAATTAATAAATTCATTGCCTACAGGTCATTACTGTAGATCATTCTAAGTTCTGTCTATAGTTAAAAATCAAATCACTTTATTTCATAACAGATCCAGTCCTTAATAATTGCCATATATTTTTTTCTTTCTATTTCTTTGATACCTACTAGGCTTGAATACTCTGGAGATAATAATACTTCTTTTTGTTTCTGTTCAGTCTGTTCGTTAGATCTAGACTTGAATTTCTTGTTTTTTTTGTTCTCTTTTGTAATGTTTTGCTTCTTTTCCCATACTATCACTTGGGCACAATAAGTATTCCAGATCTCCTTTTTAAAATTTGCTCTCATCTTTTGACAGAGTTTATCAATTATACCTTGTGTGTTTGCTGATGGGATTTTGAGCTGCTCTTTGAAGTACTTTTTCAAGAAGATGGTCTTGCTTTTTTCCATATATCTACAGATAGTATTGAAAAGGTCTCTATCAGATTTCTGAATCTCTTCTAACTATTTGTCTGTTCAGTTACTTATCTTAGGTTGAACTTCTTTCTTATCTTTTATTTCTTTACTGATAAGTTTATTTATTGATCTTTTCATTTACCTTTCTCCATAAGTTCTTCTGAGTTTTCCTAGTGATTGGGCATTCAAAAAGATATCCTAGTATCTCTTTTTGAAGTTTATATATTGGCAAGTAATTGTGATATACACATCTGGTTTTCTTTTCTTAAGTATCTATAGAACTAGAAGTTCATTATGAATTAAGTTAGTTAGGAAGCTTTTGTCTTTGTTGATTTTGAAAGAAGCATCAAAGATATTGGTTGGATTGAACCGGTTCCAGAAGGTCAGCCAGTCTATTGTTTTATTATTTTGAATCCAGAAATCCTGGATTCATTTTTGTTTTATCCAGTCTAGTCCAGTTTTTTTCTTATTGAACATCTTGACGAAATCTCTGATACCAATTTCTATTGTATATTCTTCACATACTGCTATTGTGAGGACTCTTTCTAGCTCTGGTAGCTGATTTCACATTATTGAGTTCTTCTGTTTGACCTGTTTGACAAGTAAGTCTACTTGATTGTTGAATCTGTTGGTTCTATAAACTTTGACTTTTAGGATTTCCAGATTCAGGTTTTTCTTCTTTACTAGGTCCTTGATCTTATTTCAAAGTAACCAGTTAGTGATTTTTGTTCATTTTCTTGTAGATATCTCTATTTGTGAACAGATGGATTTCCATACTTTTATTGCAATGTTGCAATTAGTGTAAATTGTAACTGTTGTATTTCGGGGGGCTATATATAGTGCAGTGAGAATAGCTAGTATTTCAGCTTTGGTTACTGATGGCCATGTAAATGCACCTACTGAAAACTGTTTAACTATCATGTCTTCCTCTATTATGATCCAAGCTATATCCATTTCAAATTCGCGATCTGTTATTCTTTTTTATAAGAGTCATCTATATAGAAATTAAGTGATCAGCCATATTCCTTTTGTTATATCTCAATATGTCCTTAAGTTTATCTCTGTATTCTTCTATTTGTATAGCTTTTTCTATTAGTGTGATATCCCAGTCTTTCACTGGAATCTCTACTTCAGCTGGTTTGGAAGCTAGTAGAGCCACTATTTGCTGAAATGCATTTGTCTACCAGTCTGTAGGGTTTCCTGGCAAAAGGATCTATTTCCTTTTTCTTAGATTATTATGTCCATTAAGCTATGGAAGAAAATGGATCTGTAATATGGCCACTTTTAATGGTTGCTCTGTGCTATCTGGTTGAAGATAAGTATTATTACTAGTAGGATCATATATTAGTTGATATGGAGTGAAATAGATTTTATTATTTATAAATACTGTCTTTCCTCATATATCTGTTAAGGTATTAGTCTGAACTGCTCAAAAACTCTTCCTTCTATCCGAGTTTACTGAGAATGCCTCAGTTTACATATTATAAACTGTCTATTCAAGTTCATGTAAAGAGTTTCATTGAAGATCTTGATTTGCTGTTGTTTTTTTTTTTACTTTTTTTATCAGGAAGGAACTAGTCCCTTGCATCTGCTATAAAGGATTTGAACTGTTCTTCATATCTTAAGTGTCATTGTGGTAGTATTGATAAGCTGATTGAGAAACATGATCTTGTGTTTTCATAGTAATGAAATGGCCTTTTCGTATTCTTTATCCTCTTGCAGTATAGATTTGATTGATAAGATACCTTCCTAATAGTCGAATATGTTTTTCTATCTCCAACTTTGTAAAGTAACCTGTATACTTTTTGTCAGAGCCATTATTGTAACTACCAGGTTCTTTTTTTGTTAGCTTGTAAGAGTTAATAGGATTACTTAGAATATTATCTAGCTTCCAATATTTGATTTGGCTTTGTTTCAGTCTGATTATGGTAGTAATACCAGAGGCCTTGTTATTGTTAAACTAACAGAAAAGTATAGGTATGTGACTTTCTAGCTGTATTTCCCAGATACTTTTGAGGCTATATATTCCTTTGTTATGAATACAACTGTTTGGGATTGTTCTACAGACTAGAACCTTGTTCTTAAATATTTTTCTAAACATGGCTATGAAATTATTACATGTTTTTTTACTCAGGTGTGTGTGTTGTGTTCTATATTCTATTCTTGGAATCAGGACCCTATTAATAATATATCAGTCATGTTTTTTTGTCAATTTCTTCTTGATTATTGCCTGAACTACTGTTTTGATCTCTGATTTTATAAGACTAGTAGTGTCCTGGTTTTTTTGTCTTGGTTCTAGCCAGATTCCAAGAAATCTAGCCTGGTTCTCCTTATTAATTTCATGAACTATAGTATCCTTTGTTCTAGCCTGAACAGTTCTGGAGACTTGTGGGTTTTGATTAATAGTAAGGAAAATTGACTTCTTTGCATTGATTTGAGAGTCATTTGCTATATAGAACTTTTTCACTTCTTCTAGGATCTTTTCCAGGTCTTTCTTGGATTTGGCAATCCAGGTTGTGTCATTCATGTAGGCAATTACTGCCTGCCTTTATCTTCTCTTCTGGTTTACTAAAGTTGGGAGACCATTTTTCTTTCATGGAATAATCCAGATTGCTGTTATTTTAGATCTTGCATAAAAGTGAATTGTAAAAGATTCTCCATAATAATGGAGAGATCATTTCTCCTTGGTCTATCCTATCCTCTGCCACTATTGGATTAGATAGTCTATTGGAAAGGATGATACTACAGTTTTTGTCTTTGAAGAGATTTATTATGGGTTTCTTAATGGATATAGAAATTCTAATCTGATCTATAACCTTTTCGAGCATATGCAGGGATATTATGCCATATGCCTTTGCAGTACCTTGAAATAGAATCCATAGTTCCTTTTTCTTTTCTCTAGCCTCTTCACAAATATTGTTTAGTAAGTGGATAGGTTCTGCTGTACTCTTTCCCAGTAGTCTGGCAAAGTTTAGTCTTTTTAAGATTTTATGTTGCTTGCAAATAGCTAATAGTCAATTGGTAAGAATCTTGGTAAAGTATTTTTGGACTGTTTCCAAGAGAATGATAGGTCCTGTATTGTCCAGATCACATTTTCAAGGCTTGGGTTTAGGAATAGGATAGATATTATTACTTTTCCATTTCTTAGGTATTTAGCCTATACTTAAAACTTTATTAAATAGAAGACATAAAGTTTTTTTTCCTTTGGTCCCTAAGTGGTTGAACATTTCATAACTAATGTATGAGAGGCCAGCAGTCTTGTTGTTTGGGAGAGATTGCAAAGTAGCTTCGAGCTCATTTATTTTGATTTCTTCTGTTAGAGGTGAATACCATATTGGATCGATCC